AGATGCAGTTGTGGTGAGGCTTAAAAGAGTTCATATATGTAAAGCACTTGGACCTAGGACTGGCAAACAGTATATGCTCAGTAATGCTACCTGTGTCCCATTCGTATGTGTCTGGCTATGGGTAGTATTTTGATAGTGCTCTGTGACTGTCTCCTTGTATATAAAACTACTTCCACATGTTTGGGAGCATTTGGCTCATCTAAGAACTTTGCACATTCCCTGGCAAAGTGAAGGAGCCCATAAATTTCCCTTTTATCCTCCTCTCTTCCTTCATTAATGCGTTTATTTATTGCACCTTTCAACAAATAGTATCATGTGCCTGCCTACTGTGTGCAGTAATCTCAGATGATATCCTGGGAAAGTGAGGAGGAGGAGGGCTCAGTGATCAGAGGGTGCAAAGGAGAACAGCCCCCGCATATAGGAGATAGGGGTCTTTCCACCGAAGACAGTGCCTTAGGGTGGAGGTGAGGAGTGAGCAGCAAAGGATTTTGTTCTTGGCAGAAGCAAAGCCCATGGGGGATTCCAGCGAAGGTTCTCTTTTCCTTTTATTGGAGTTCTGTGCTGGAGCTATAAACCCTCTAAATGAGTTGAGATCATTAGGGAAGCTCCACTGATCACTGGTGAAAAAATATAAGAATTAAAACCAGAAGCTTCAGAGTGGGAAGCTTTGGGAGGGGCACAGGAGAGGAGAAGGGAACATGGAGGGCTCTTAATACCTAATAGCAAATACTAATAATGGCAGAGAGTTGGGGACTAATTAAAAGTTTCTAAAAAGAGAGATTGAAAGAGATAGAGAAAGGAATTCATCCGTAATATTTTGCCGGCCTGGAATCAAGAAGTACTATGGCTTAGGAAAGGGAAGGAAGGACAAGGAGTCTAGCATTTGGGTTTGAGGCCCTGTCTTGGGTGATTCAAATGACCTTGGCAAGCATCTTCATCTCTCTGAGCCTCACTTTTCCCATCTGCAAAATGCTGCCTGGCTTTCTGCCTCATTGGGTTTAGCAAGTATCAAATGTAAACTGTATTACACTACATAACATGAGCAAGATGCTGTCTTTCCTCCAAGGAGAAGCACTAAGAGCTGTTATAAATGACCTCTAAGTCTTCTGCAACTTGGCAATTTTATGTTTCCACCAAAAATAAATAAATAAAAGATGTGATCTCTGAACTGATATTTCAAGTAGATTTAGAGAAGGTACTGGAACTTGGAATTTAAATGATATTCCTGAAGGACTTTTGTCCCAAATATTCCCATTACCAATCAATAATAGTCTCTGACTCTTTTTCCCTTTAGACAGTCATTCCTTTGGTGTAATCCTGCATGCCTTCATCTTTCTCTGATGAAAATACAAGTAGATGATCCGTCATCACTTACCACTAACAATGAACTTCACATTAACAGGCAAATACTTTCCTAAGGAGACTTTTTATGGACTGAGGGAAAGGAAATAATTGACAACCTGGACATTGGTAATGGCTGCTAGAGTAGTGCAGGCTTGGGGAGGGAGAGAGTTGGCAACTGAACCTACCTCAAAAATGGGACTGGTCATGAAGCATCATAAGCGGAAAAAAATAAATAAAAAACTTGAATATCTACAGTGTGTCAACTACTTTACGTCTATAGCTCACTTAATTTGCATAGAAATCAATGAGGCAAATATCTTACAGGTAGAGAATTTAAAATGCAGAGAGAATACATAAGTGACCCAAAGCCAAAGGATGAATAAGAGAGGCAGGAATTGACTCCAGTCCTATGTTCTTTGTGGCCTACCACTCTGAATTCTCACCTGTTTTCCATGGTCCCAGGCCCCAAGAGGCCCCCAGAATCGATTGTCAACCACAGCCCTGCAAATGAATCTGAAAAATATGGTCTATAGAATCACCCGAGTTTCCAATTTGTTTTTTTGAAGCTGCTTCATTCATTTGTCAGTCTACACTCGATACATTTTCATCTTCTTTCTCCTTTTAAATTCCCTAATAACGTTGGTTGGTGGGTGTCTTTCCCTCATAAGAGGTTTTTAATGGCAGCATGAGGCATTCAGCTTTTTGAGTTTGAATTCACTTGGTCACTTTCTAAAAATGAAGATCCTGAGGCCTTACTTCAGAGATGCCGATTTAGTGGTTACAAGGATGGTCCAAAATCTGGACCATTTTTTAACCATCGCAGCCCCACCTCTCCAATACAGGCAGTTCTGATACAGTTAATTCAGGGGCCACTCATAGAACACAGAATAGCCTGAGGCAGGTGTTAGAAGAAATCTGAACTCAAATCCTGGGTCATGCCATTCGCTAATTCTATGAACTTAGTACACTTTTTCAAACTGCCTCTGAGACCCAGTTGCATCACCTGTAAAACTATTGGAAGACTCTCTCCTTCATGGTGTATCCCTGAGAATAAAACAAGACAGTATATTAACTCCTGGCTGAGAGAAAGTAGTTTGTAGTAGCAGGGTAGCACAGCAGAGATGTGTGGAAGTTAAGTGTAAGAATACTGGAGCCATACCGCCTGGGTTCAAATTCAAGTTGACACATTTGTTAGCTCTTTAATCTTGAGTGAATTCTTTAACCTTTCTCTGCCTCAGTTTCCCCCATCTTCAAATGAGAATACCCTAGGGAAAATGTGAATTTCATGGTACAAATGAAAACATCATGATACAGTGTGAGAATAACATGGTACTTTTCTCATCAGGTGATTGTAAATATTAAATACAGTGATATCTCCAAAGAGCTTGGAACCCTAACTGGCACAGACTTTTATTATTGATATTTAATAAATAATAGTTTTCTAAGGATAGGAAACCCATCTGGTTCTCTGTGGCATGAAGCCCAGTGCTGTGGGCAAAGCATTTGCTACCAAACGCCCTTAAATAAAAAAGGAGCCGGTGTTGTTGGGAGAATGGGGAAGGTGGACCCCACAGCACGAGAAATTCTTAGATGATGACCAACATTCCCCAAATCAAGCACATGCCTAGCAGAACCTTCCTTTAACAATTTTTGCCTTCTCCTCTAAAACCAAAGCATATTCCAAGGGTAATTTAATCCATATGCTTTTCATTTACTCATTTACTCTTAATCATCCAAATATTGTTGGATGAAGCTATTTGATGCCCGAAGAGAAATATGAAAGAATCACAACATGAGTCTTTAGAAAGCTTTTTTTTATGCCAGACAAGAAACTGCATATTGGTAAACAAACTTGTCAACCAAAATGAAGTGACAGATATGATCATCCTGATTTCTCTCCACCACCCTACAGTCTTAACGTGCATTTCAATCACTTTCACTCAGTTTTTCTTTCCCTTCTGTTGGTCTGTGTTTTGTTTTCTCACCTGTATTTCAACAACACCTTCAGGGTAGGTAGATTTTGTTCTCCAATTGTACAGCAAACGAAAATAGGTCTGACACTTGTTTCTACACATATTTCTAGAGGAAGAAAAAAAATGCCAGGAGGAGTTCTGGTGTTCATAGGCACATAATTTCACATTTAAAAGACCTGAATAACCAATATAATTCATTAGGAGATTTTAGCAGAAATGTGACACAAAAGGGAACTCCTTAATGGATGGCTATATGCATTCACCTGCACATGTTAATGTCTCCTCTGTTTTGAATTGGTAGTAAGTCAAATTGGCAACCAACTCTGTAATATAAGGCAGAAGATGGTGAAGCTATAAGAGAGGGTCGATTATCCTATAGCTATGAAGAAGAAGAAGGGGTTAGTTTTCGTGGGTTTGATCATTAAATGTTATAAGTAAAATCCAATGTGAGAGGTTTTATAAAAGCCACATGTGAGAAGATGAGTAGGATTTTTATACACAAAATTTGGGTGAGCTATAGACAGGAAGAATAGTGAGACTAAAAGCGCAGAGTCTCAACATGATAGCCAATATTCAGAAAATAAGTTGTGGGATCAGAACAATCTTTGTGGAACAAGCCTCTGAATCAAAGTCAGGTTTTAAGGGATAAAGAAGTCACCCAGGACAAATAGAACATGCGGTTTGAGTCCTCTGTACAGAACCACCAGCCAAATGTCCTCCTAATTCCAAATGTGGCTTGATTGCCACCAGGGGAAACTCACTAACTGTCCCAACAGTCCGTGGTATGTTTGGAAATCTATGATTATTACATGGAATAAATTTTCACCTGCAGTTGATACTTCCGTTAATTCATTGAATCACAAAGAATAAACATAATGGACCTTCCTTACATTTCTAAAGACATTTAAGGAAGATAATAACTTATTTGTTTATTCATCAACTCATTGATTCCCTGCTACACATTCTGAACTAATCACTGGGTGGTCAGTAATGATCAAACAAATCGAAATTTGCTCTTGTATGTACTTTGGCCTCATGAAGTCCACACATAAGCAATGGAGACACATTGTGATGGTTGCATGATGAGAGAGTTTCAGGTACTGAGGAATTACCTGAGAGAGACATATAATCCTGATTAGTGTAAATCGCATAATCCCGGTGTGCAAAATTCTGTTGTCTCGTTTTTCAACTAAATCTCAAGTCCTTCAATTCTTTTCTTCCCTATCTTGTTCACTCTTCTGTGATCATGTTCTATCTGTCTGCTCTTCTTAAAAATTGGAAGTAGAACTGTGAGCCTCAGCTGAATAGAAAGTATTTATCATCTGGCTGTTTTTACACGTTACATTTGTAGTTATGAAATTTTAACTGGTAGCAAACATTCATATTGGGTAGCCATCTTTCATTATTTTATTATTTTGATTTTGTTTTTTTAAAGATTGGCACATGAGCTAACATCTGTTGCCAATCTTGTCTCTTTTTCTTCTTCTTCTTCTCCCCAAAGTCCCCCCAGTACATAGTTGTATATTCTAGTGAGTGCCTCTGGTTGTGCTATATGGGATGCCGCCTCAGCATGGCCTGATGAGCAGTGCCATGTTCGTGCCCAGGATTTGAACCTGCAAAACCCTGGATAGCTGAAGCTGAGCATGCAAACTTAACCACTCGGCCACGGGGTTGGACCCTATTTTGATTTTTTAAAATAATTTTTATTAAGGTATAAATGACATATAACATTATTAGCTTCAAATGTACAACATAATTATTCAATATTTGTATATATTGCATAATAATCACCACAATAAGCTTAACTATTTTGATTTTACCTTCAATTAAAACCCCAAAAGTTTCCCAGGTACACATACATAACACACACACACACAAATACACACTTATGCACACATTTTTATAATTATAAATTTTTACAATTGCTTTTATTTCTACAACTTTCTTTTTTGATTACTACATTTCTCCATTTTAGATACAGTTCATTTCTCTGGGCTGTTCAGATCACTTTGAATTCTGATTCTGCCATTCAACATATTCCCACCATCATATCACTTACATATTTCATGATCATGAGCTCTCACTCTTTATCCAAGACATTAATAGACATAGTGAACAGGGCAGGACAAAGGCCAGAGCCTGCAGGCTGTGACCAGTGCCTGTCCTCAATTTTGGCATTGATCCATTAATTAGCACTCCTGGGGACCATCTTTCAACCAGTTACAAAGTTACAAAACCAGTCCATCATACCTCCATCAAGCTTCCATTCTTCACTCCTTTCTACAAAGATATCATCAGGGAAGACTTTGTGAAATGGCTCGTGGAAAGCTAGATATGCTGTATCAACTTCCTTTCCTTGATCTCCCATCCTAGGCTATAAATACTCTAGAGTGAAAGAAGGTCAGTCTGATTTGACTTACTCGTGGAGAGCTCACACCAAGACCAAAGGGAAAGTGGTACTCTTTCTGTATGTTTAGAACTTCAGAATTCAGGAGCTGTAAAGGATTATAGAGATTATCTCATCCAGCCTCATCATTCCACAAGTGAGTCTCAAGCTTGAAATAACTTTGCCTATGGTCACACAGCTAGTCAGAGCTTGAAATGTAGTTATAACTTATATTCTCCTTTTCACACTTAGGAGGAGTGGAATTGACTTTAGAAAAGCATTTCCCAAAATACATTCCACAGAATATTACTTCTAGGCTGAAAAAAAATGTCCCCATGTTCAAAAGCATTTGAAAACCCTCATGTATTGCTTTATTAGTGATTCACAATTCATTCAGTCATTAAGTAAATATTTACAGACTGCCCCTAAATATCAGACACTGTGCTGGGCACAGGAATATGACAGTGAATAAGATCTCTTATAAATTTTCTTCTAAGGGGAGAGACAAACATTAAATAACCAATTACTCGAATAGAAAGATTGCTATGAATTTTAATTTGCTCTGAAAAACAATTTAGTGTGTTCTAACAGACAGAAGGAGTATAAGAAATGGCCTATATGAGAAAATGACATTTAAGTATGCAAGAAAGCTCAGATAAGAAATATCTTGGCATATTCAACAAAATGGAAGAATAAAGGAGATTGTTAGCCATGACCCTGAGAAGAACACCTCAGAGCTAAAGAAGGGATTTGTTGGCAATGTTAAAGGAAAAAATACAAATATGAACATAAAGGGCATTGGTGCATTTTGAGCATGAGGATGACCCAATGTCATTATCATTTTGAAAATATTACACTGGCTGCTCTGTGAAGACAGAATTGGGGACCCGGGGTGTTAAGAATACAAACACAGGAAACTGTTATGAAAATTTTGATAAAGTTCCAGAACAGGGAAAATGGCCTCTTGAGTATGGACCTATTATAAAAAGAAAACAATCAAGTAAACAAACTGTTAACTCTTTATCATTTATGCACAACACTTCCCAAACTCATTTGACCATGGAATCACTATTTAGGTAACACTTATTTTACTCCATGACATTCTGAATAATACATTTTAAGAAATGCTGCTGTGGGATATCTCAAGTTAAAGTCATTCTAGGCCCTTCAAAATGGTAACAGAGCTTGCCATTTGCTGGATTTGGAATGCTTTATTCATTTATTTTCTTCATTCCAGCCGATGATTCATTTGTTTATAAGGGTCACCCTGGTGCTAGCTGGTTTACTTTCATTTGAATTTCCAGGTGTCAGGTTTAGAAAAATACAAGCCCAGGAAGTAATCCCAATATATCACCATGTTTACTTGTGTATATTTTTATTTCTCACCTCCCTCTACTCACTCTTAATTCACAATGTCATCTGTTTTCAGAATAGAATTCTAATTGCTCATTAATATTTAGGAAAACTAACTCCTACGTTAAAAAAAAAATGACCTTCCAGACTAATTAACCAGCAATGAATTTCACATTTGAGTATATTTCCATAGGCTGATGTAAACTTATTCTTAAATAAGGAATGATGAATAAGAGGACTACAAGGAGGTACCAAGATGTCAATATAAAATAATAAATTCAACATCTGCAGTGTGATTTCCATATGTCAGCTCTTTGAATCAGCACAGCTCTGTAAGGCAGGGCATCTGATATCTCAATATGTGCATGGATTACTTGGAGATCTGGCTGAATGCAGATTCTGATTCAGTGGGTTTGAGCGGGGCCTGAAATTCTTCTCCCTGGTGATGCTTCCAGACCTCAGACTACACTTTGAGCAGCAACGGTGTTAAGCACCATTTCCACTTTGCATTTCAGGGTTCAGCAACCAGCAATAGAAAACCCCAATTCCCACAGTCTTAACAATGACACTATTTGTTATCTCTCACCCAAGAAACCCAGTGCTAGAATGGCTCCAGGCATGATATGTCAGTATCTCAATAATTTCATCAAAGATGCAAGTTCTTCAATCTCTCCACTCTGCTTTCTTCAGTGCCTTCATTCTAAGGCTACTTCTCCTGTTTCTAATATGGATATAGCAATTTCAATGTCTTATTCAGATATAACAACATCCAGAGGAAAATATTTCTCTTCTACGTTTTCTTCTTAAGACCAAAGAAACCTTGACAAGAGTCCCCTGGCAGACATTGCTCACATTTTATTAGTCAAATCTGCATCACGTGTTCCTCAGTAGCAGACTCTGTAGGTACTCTACCTTATGCCCTCAGCCCATAAACAGATTGCCTGCAATTTATTGGGCAAATCTCATAAGCCCTTGATTTCTTCGTCTGGAAACTGCATCTCTGAGCCTGAGGGCCACCTCTGGAGTGTGCACAGGCTGGAAATGCTAGAGAGTTGAAGTCCTAAGGAGCAATCTTAAACAAGTGAGTGATGGAAACTAAATCCTGTCCTCCTCCTTCCTTAGGGGGCAAACTCTGAGTCCTGCACTAGGTCTCCAGCAGCATTAACTCCCAGTGGCACATGGAGGAAACTGGCCATCAACTAACCCTTGGTGGCTTTCTTTGCGTCTCCTTCTCACATCATGATTCCTTCATAGTGATTTCTAGGATCATGTCCCAGTAAAAGACTTGAGCCCACATCCTTGTCTTAGGTTCTGTTCTTGAGAGAATGAGTTAAAACAAGTCCAAATATCACAACCAGACCAACTGGAGAATGAGAATGTGTCAATTGGCTTAGAGGGGTGGTTTGATAGTGTGGACCCCAGACTAGAAGCATCAGCCTCACCTGGGAACTTGTTAAAAATGTAAATTCCAGGGTTCCTCCCCAGTCCTATGGGATCAGACTCTCTGGGGCTGGAGCCAAACAATCTGTGTTTTATAACAAGCCCACCAGATGATTTTGGCACATGGCAGGTTTAAAAATCACTGGTTTAGATTAATCAGAATATATCCTGGGTTCTGAGGGAAGAATCTCCTCTCATGAATCATTTGATCATGAGGAGGATGTGTAGATATCTGCACAAAATTATGGTTCTATTAAGGAGAGTTAGGTGAGTTGAGGTGGGACAATAGATGCTTCAAAATCACCATTTCTGCTTCCCTTTAGGGATGTCCGGAGAGCAAAGCCAGTTGCACCAAATCTCAGAACTGCAAAACAGAAAAAGTGGGTTTTTCATCCTGATTTATGCCAATAGACACAGTGCTCCTTGCCTAGTTTCTTTAGCTCTGTGGTCACTGGGGGACCTTAGGCAGCATGGGAGAGAGAAGGCCACGGAGGACAAGGCTTCCCTTGCCAGAAGTCACAGCATGTTTTCCTTCAGTGGCAATAAATCCCATGAAAATGCAGATAGATAAAGCATCCTGACATTTATATCCAGTAGGAAATACATGAAAATAATAAGAGGAGAAGATAATAGTGCAACATGAAGCTTTTATTAATGTTAGACTAACTCTGTAGGGGAAATGGTTCATTTTATTGCTTTAATGTCAAGCTTTCTCTTTTCCTCCAGTGGGCATAAAACTGGGCTCACCCCTGATTATTAATCAGTAAGTGAGAGAGCAGTTAGTGAGTGCCTCGGGTGTGTCTAGAGGAACTGTATGAGCCATAGGGATATACAGCAGTGTGTGAGACACGGCCCCTCCCAGGAGCTCATGATCTAGTTGGGAAAGCCACATAAACAGACGTATTCAGACTTAACATTTATTGAGTGCTTGAAATGTTCCAGAAGCTATGTTGAATGGTTTTACACATATTTCATTTTAAAATATACATGAATTAACAAATAAAGGATAACATAATAAAACAGAGTATAGCCAGGTACTAAATTGTATCCAATATGGATTTTGAGCAGGGAAAGACCACCAGGAATTGTAGCTCTATCATTAATTTGTTACATGATCTTGGCCAACTCATTTCCCTCATCAGATGTTTCCTACCTAGCACAAGGGCATTGAACCAAAAGAGTGCATCCCAAAATTGTGTTCCATGGAAAATTTCTCTTTAGGATATTAATAGATATGTAACATTAAACAAAAAGATTGAGAGAAGTGGCAGAAGATGAAAACATTTAGAAACATGTTCAACAAAATTGAGCAGGTTGTTTCCTGCAAGACCTCTCAAGGCTTCTGTGTTTTGTGAATCTATAGGAGGAGAATATTATTTGTAGCATTTCATAAGATTATTTTATTAAAGAGCCTACTATTATATGATGCTGAGTAACATCCCTTAACATGTCCCAGAATCAGTGTGGAAATTGACAGAAAGTATGTCTGAGGTCTCTTCCAGCAACATGGTTCTGAGAGGTTTGGCAGCTCACTTGATCAGTCTTTAAAGGAGACTCAAGTTCAACTCAGTGAACAGCAAGGGCATTCATAGTGGGGATAACAACATAAAGAAAAGTTCTGGGATAACGTTTTCCTTCACTAAGACTGTAGACAGCAACATACCTTAACATTTCTCCAACAAACTTACAACACATTTTCAGATATTCACTAATTTAAACCCCCTGGCAACCTAGATGTAGCTTTTTGTTCTCCACTGTTATTTTTTTCAGTGAGAAAACTGAAGCTTGTAATGGCAGAATCTGACTTTCTTAGTGTCACTTCTTCTGTCCTCTCTCGCCTGATCCCTTCACTCTGTGCTGAGCTTAGTTGCTTATTAAGGTTTCCGCATTTCAGCGTGTACTATTTTTTTTTAATCTAGTGTTCAAGTATCATAAAAACATGGCAAGTTTTACAAAAGGTTGGCGTTTCTCCTTTTTGTATCGTCTTTTTGTTTTTCCCACAGCATCTTGCTATGTGCTTTAGAGCCCAGATCTGGTGATCAAGGTCCAGGCAACGTTAGCATATCTTAGGGATAAAAGTGGTCCTACAGGCAGGATGTTCATACGAAACACTAACTGGGCTCTTCTAGTCTTCAGCACATACCACCTGGGTCTGGTCCTGGTGATACCTCCGGCCAGTCACCAGCCCTCAGCCTGGTGTCTTTAATTAAACACCCTCAATACTACATGAGTTAATTCGTTGTATGTTTATAAGGGTCTTTGAGGAATCAAAATGCTACCTGATAGGGAGGGTGATCTGAGGGCAGATGTCTAATGGGAGAAGCAGGAAGTTCCGAGCTGGGAAACCAGCTGGCTGGGATCAGTCTCAGGCTCTGAACTCTCTTCCTGGATGATGTTGGGCAAGTCACACCTCTTCTTCCAGCCTCTTTGTCTCTTTGTTTAAAAAATTCAAAAAAAAGTAGCTTTCCAAGGCTCCCACCAGATCTCACAAACGTTTATTTTTTAATGTCAATTGACCAAGTCAAACTTAGCAATCAATGAAGTGACCGGTGTCACATCAGTTAAGCCCTTGTGGCCATTATTTGAATGGGGCACTTGAAACCCTCCCAACCCCCTTCTCCTGCCAGAGAAGATGAAAGTGTCATTTCTGACCTCAGCACTGGCCTTTGCCTTGAACTTTGCAGTGCCTTCCACATTACCATTTCCAGCTGGTTCTTTGCCCCCCGGCGAGACCAGACTTTTCTGAAAGAGTGTAAACTTCTCTGAATGATATTTGAAAATAAAATATAATTGATTTAACAGCTCCTTGAACCTCTCCTATCAGGAATTGATTTTTTTTCTCTCTTTTGTTTTACACACTTGAAAGTGATTTGAGTGATGACAGGTAGAAACTCCAATACATAAATGTTCTGCATCCATTCTTCCATTCTCTTTAAATTCATCCCTTAGAAAAGAATGCATGTGGGTGTGTGTGCAAGTGCATGTGTTTTTACAAGTGTCTTTTCACATATATTCATATCTGTATTTGCCTGTGTTTATATGAGTTCATCAATCTGCATGCACTGTACATGCGCTTTTGTATATCAACGTCTTTGTATTTGTATGCACTCACATATACAGCAAATTCATTTATTTGTGCATGTGTGTTTTCCATATGTGTGCATCCTAACGCAAATTTGAATATGCATATTTATAAGCATGCATCTTAGCAAATGAGTATTTTGCATACATCTATGCTTGTTTGTGTGCTTGTGATCTGTGCATGATTTAGCTTATGGAGGAACAGGGAGGTTTGTGTCTAGGTGCTTATGCAAGTGTTTATCCATATGAATAGGTGTATGTAAATCCCTATGTAGTTAGACAGGCATTTCAAAGCACACCTAGGCTCGCTATTCCTCCTTCTCTCCAAAGAATAAACAGAACTCAACTTTTCCTGGACGCACCAGACAGCTCCTGCCGATTCGGACAGTCATTATGAACCATGGAGTGCTCTCCAGTGCCAGCCCAGTATTAGCTGTCACTTCCTCAGGCAGGATAAAGTCACCCAACTGGACTATATCCTAATTATCTGGCAAGAGAAGAAGGTGTGGCAGATGCTGCTGATGGACCTGGTAACCCCTCTCTTTGAAGCAACCCAGGGACTCAGGTGGCTCCCTAGAGCCCACCCCTGGAGCTAGTGCTGGACTACTTTTGAGTGACACAAGGGCTGGCTTAACACGGTGCTGATTGAAATGTCGGTGTGGCAGAAGCTGTCGGTGCCAGACAGGCCCAGCACACCTCTTTTCCATCCCCTGCCTGCCTAGATTTGTGTGAGCGGCAGATCTGTGCTTCCTGTCAGTCAACCTGTCTGCTCGTAGCTGGCAGCACTGCCAGAGTGGTCAGTTTGTGACAGTGATGTTTGGTAGGGGAGAAATTGGGCTCATGTTCAAATAGGCCTTTGGCTTCCTTTAGCAGGAGAACGAGCTCCCACATGGGAACTTGTGTCATTACCCAGGAAAAAAAAAAAAAACAAAACCATGAGCATTCTCATCAGTTGAAGGTAGAGTAAGACATAGACACTCACCACAGACACTGAAGGTAGGGTGGGGATTCATGATCTGGGAGGTGGAGGTGGATGGAGAGTTAGAATAAATAAACCCATACTAGATGCGTAGTATGGAGCCCTAGGCTCAGGTCCCCACCCTTCCATGAGTGGGCTGCAAGGTGTTGTACAAGTCACTTTAGACAAATCTCAGGACCAGTTTGGATTTATTCCCCAAACCATGCCAAGACAGAGTGGGGTCTGGCCCCACTCTGGTATAATGGGAAGAGTCCCAGCATCAGTTCCTCGAAGGAAATCTAGTCCAATAGGCAGGATATGTAGGGTATTACTTTGCCAACCACGAGAGTGACAATTCAAGATCAACAAGACCCTGTTTGAAAAGGTAAAGGCTATTCTCTTCCTTCTTTCCAGGCTCCTGTTCTACTCACTGATTACTTCCACTTAGATATTTCAAGTCATTTCACATTCAAGATATCCAAACATAGCTGTATCCTTCTCTTCCTCAAAGCACTGTGGCAACCACATACAAATTATTACTGATCCTAGCCTCACTTTTCACCTCCTTACCTTTGACCCGTCTCTAACCAAATGACAATCCCTCTGGACTTGCCTCCTGGATATCACTGCAGTCCGTCTTCACAGCCACCACCTGAGTGCAGCCTGAGAAGCATCTTCTTTTGCCTTGATTTTACAATGACCTCTTAAATGGTCTCCCTGGTTCCACTCTGCTTCCTTCAAATCCATTCTCCACACCGAAGCCAAAGTGACCATTTAGAAACTGCAATGTTGGTCATGTCTTGCCCTAACTTAAAAGCCTTCATGATCTTTCCACCATCCTTAGGATGATGCACAAATCCATTAGCATGGCCTATGGTGATCTCTGTGCTCACATCTCTGTCCGCAGCCTCATCTTTTCACATTCTACTCCACATGGCTCACTCTCACCATTATGAATTTCATTCATGCCCTAGAGTAACTGATGTTCCCTCTCACCCCTCAGCCTTTCTCATGCTATCCCTCTACCTGAAATATAGTTTTCCATTCTGTCCATCTGACCAGCTCCTATACATCTGTCCAGTTTACGCTTAAATATATTTCCGTGGAGAAGACTTTTACGTGTCCCAATGCAGATGAGACATCCTTGCCAAATTATCCTGTTCCAAATTCTACCTCACTTGCAGAAAACTCATCTCAGAACATTAGAACTAATTGCTTAATTGATAGTCTTCCTTATTAAAATTCATGCTGTTTTAGGCAGAGTACAGGTCTGCAATATTCACTTCTGTTTTTCTATTGCGTAGCACAGAGTTTAGTACATGGAAAATGCTCCAGAAGTGTGTACAAAGTAAACTAAGAAATAAATAGCAATTAATTACACTTTCATAAAATTATGTTAAATTGCTGTGTGAAGGAGTTCATAAATACAATATAGACTTTGAATGCAAGTTCCTGAGAGCACGAACTTGTTCTGTACACCAGTGTACCTCTCTCTACCCTGACAAAAGTGTCTGGTACAGGCTAGGCTCTCCATTAATATTTAATAAATTAATGAGCTTTTAAAATAAGTATTTTATATCGTGCTATGCACATATTTGGAATATATAGAGTTTCTTAACTTTTTCCACCTAAATACCCATAACATCAAGCAAGAGTGAGTATGTACCCCTAGAAGATCTGGAGGTGTAAGCCTAGATGGCACCCTGTAAGGAAGAAATCTCTTTGCAGTCTTGAGTTATAGCTCAAAATCCATGCAAATCCTCTATTCGATACCGCAATGTATCTGTGTTTGTTTTAATATAAAAATAAGTTTACCTTAGTTGCCATGAGCAAAACTAATCGTTGAGAAATATATGCCATACATATCACCTGGCTTTGCGTACTTTCTGGCATATGGCCACATACCATTGCCAATAAGCTTATTTTACTTTGAGAACCAATGAAACCCCAATGGCTAACTCAGAAACCATGCTGTGACCAGAGATATGATGTAGACCAGGTGGTCTGCCAAATATCAAAACTTCATTTGGAGATGATGCTTGGGGGATTTCTCTCTAGAATTATACCCATAGGAGGTCTCCTATAAACTTATGCAGGAGCTAACCTAGACAGGAATAATTGTTCATAATATCTCATAGTTATTTGAGTCCATCCATTGCTTCTCCTACAAATGTCCTCTCACTGATATTCAATAGCTCTTTTTTCCAGTAGCCTCCCTTCTGCCTCTTTTCTATATGCTAGTTGTAATTGCACACACTGACTCATGCCTTTCCACTCTCTCGTGCATAGAATGCAAAGCTTTTGAGGCCTCTACATTATTCCTTTATCCTCACACACCCTCACAATTGAATACCATCTGCAAATTTAATTAGCCAGCAATTTATTCCTTTTGCCTAATCATTAGTGAAGTTGAATAACTTGATGAAAAGGGAAAAAAAGAAACTTTCTCAAATGCTGTGTACAGAATAGAAACTATGGCCTTTTCTTCTGTTTTTTAACCTCTCCAGCTTACTGTGATGGAGGACCCAAGTGATGGAAGCCCAAGCCAATCAGAAGTCAGGTATAAACATACAATGCAGTTCGATGAGAATTTTTTAACTAGCTCTAAATAAAGAATACCAGGGAGCTTATCTAGAGTAACACAGTTGTTTAGGGCACAATGCTGTTCTATTCATTTTTGAATACGATTTTCTCCTCTAAATACTAGGTAAGCAATTTTCAAAACTATTTAGCCCTTCTGTGGCATCTGCTCATAGAGTATTGTCATTCTTTGAGAGGCCTCCTTGAAGAATCTGGATTCCTACTTTGATTGCTCTGGCCTCAAAATCACTTCTTTTTCACTGATTTCAGAGCATTTTTGTCCCTCTGAATCAACAAAGCAACTAGGTAAACTTGTCTTTTTTCCAGCTTTATTCCCTGGGAAATTTCCTCTGGTCTTTGGGAACAATCCGGTCCATGGCACAGAGAAAGGGTTACACTTGTCTCATTTCCAGAGATTGCTCCAGATGGTTTGAAACAACAAAGACAGCCACACAACACATTGGCCAATGTCGTATGCTTCCTTGCTCAGGTGTGTTGGGAAGTTTCAGGTACTTAGGAAAAGTAGCATCCATCAAGAAATCCAGTGCATTTTTGCATTCAGCGTTGTCTCTCCTTCCACTATTTATCTTCACCTTAAAGTGTTATTCTAAAGTATAAATGGATGTATGTGAATTACTTGAATATTGTCACTAAAACATGCAACAATATGAGGCAATTGGAAGACAGCTGGCCACAGGTTAGAACAAGTGATCTCTTCCATTTAACTAACTGGATGGTTTCTACTCAACAATTCCCCTCTTGAGTCTTGTTTCTTTTCTCAAATGAAATAACATGATCTATATATTTCACACAACTAGACTCTGAGTTAGGTAAGGATGAAGATTGTAGTTGCTTGATGTTTGTATACACAGAGCCCACTACCAAACAAATAGTTGAGGATAAATTAGTGTCTACTGAATAGAATAGACAGGGTTGTTGTGAGGTTGACTTGAGGAAATTGTACGAGTACAAATTACAAGAATTATCATCATCATCACTGTTATTACAATTGCTACAGTTGTGGGATTGATTTTTACTGTTACCTGAGAGGAATATGGAATACCTAGAAAATTTAAATTCATTTAAAACTTCTACAATATGTGCCAACTTTCTTGTTTTGATAGTTTATACTGGTTGGTGAAAATGAATCTTTATCTCTAGTAAGGTATGTGACAAAAATTCAATGTGATGGTTAAGAATGTCCATAAATTTTATACAAGAGTACAAATGATAGTTGCTGAATCCAAAATCATGGCCCTACATACACATTTCATTACCCAAAGAGAATAAGATGTGTGGCATCAGTGAAATAGCATTTTGGAAAATAACATGAAAATTGAAGCCAGAAGATGAAGTGTAATTCTTGCTCTGCCAACACTCACTGTGTTACCTTGTATAGTAGGCAGAATTCTAACCTGGCTCTCAAGATTTTCACCCCATGTTTACACACCCTATATAATTCCCTCTCTTCCTTTATGTGGGTGGGACTTGTGATTATGAAAAGAGAGATTATTCTAGGTGGGTCTGACCTAATCAGTGGAGGGTTTTAAAAGATGGTCTAGAAGTCAGAGAGATTCAAAGCAGCATAAATGTTCTCTTTCTGGCCTTGAAGTAGCGAAGTGCTTTGCTGCAGAGAGGGTCTTGTGGCAGGAAATCATGGGCAATCTCTAGGAGCAGAGGGCCTCAGTCTTACAACCACATGAAACTGAAATCTGCCAACAACCATGGCAGACCTCTTCCAAAGGTGGAAGAGGATCCTGAGCTTCAGATGAGACCACAGTCTTGACTTTATTTTAGCCTAGTGGACTCTGATCAGAGAACCAGCTAATTCACGCCCAGACTCCTCACTGACAGAAGCTGTGAGCAAATGTGTGCATTGTTATAAGCTACTAAATTTGCAGTAATTGTTATACAGCAATAGAAAACTCATACACCTTAGATAATTTGTTACCATTGTGGCCTCACTATAAAAAGAGTCAAGAATACAACCTCTTCTAAAATTTTGAAATGTGTAAGAACTAATGCAATGCAAAATATACTCATCATTGTATTCCTCAAAATTTTGCTTAAAATTCCTTTTTTTTTTTTTTTGCCAGATCAACTTAACATGTACTAAATTAAGCTTTTCAGCTGCCTCATCCTTCTTAGAATCCCCAATCAGCTTCACTACCTATGGTTCACCTATTGGTTGATAGCCTCACCAGCAACCTAGTGCCCAAAGCTGGAATCCTCGGGGTCATTCTCTATTCCTTCCTTCTTGATTCTCCCAACCAGGCTCAATTTTCATGTCATTCGAGAAACTTACCTTAGCTCTGGTATCTCCTGTGCTTCCTTACTATTCAACTCAACAACTGCTGTGGCCTTAATGCAAGACTGTGACTTCCATTTGGTCCATTTTTTTCATTGCCATAAGAGTTATCTTTCTAAAGAGAAAGCTGCTTTATCCACTCTGCTCCTGAAACATGCCTAAGGTCTCCTCCACATGGCATGTTGTGTTTTTCACAACCTGGCTCCAACCCACTTCTCTCCTTTCCCAACATGCTATCTATATGCCACCCTTAACTTTCCATGAATATGATGGGTTGAATCATGTCCTCTCCAAAAAGAAGATATGTTGAAGTCCTAATTCCTGGTAACTATGAATGCGAACTTGTTTGGACAGAGGGTCTTTATAGATATAATCAAGTTAAAATGAGGTCATAAGCATGGATCCTAATCCAGTAGGACTGGCATCCTTATAAGAAGAGGAAAATTTAGACACAGAGAGAAGAATGCCATGTGAAGACAGAGATGCACAGGGAGAAGAAGGCTGTGTGAAGATGGAGGCAAAGATTGGAGCTGTGCTGCCACAATGCCTGAGGCTACCAGAAGCTGGAAGAGGCAAGGAAGGGTCCTCTCCTAGAGGGTTTAGAGGGAGCATGGTCCTGACAACACCATATTCTTGGGCTTCTAGCCTCTAGAATTATGACATCATAAATTTCTGTTGTTCTAAGCCACCAGTTTGTGATACTTTGTTATGGCAGCTCTAGGAGATTAGTACAATGGACATGCCAGCCCCTTTCACTGACCCATGACTTTGAACCAACTACTCCCTTTGTCGATATGTGGAAATCCTCTAAACATATTTCAAGATACAGTAGGTAAGCTACATCTTCAAAGAAACCTTCTAGGAGAGCTTCAACCAAATTCTCTTTCCCTGAGTTTCTCAGAGCAAGTTTCCTGATCTCTGTTAAAAGATTAATACTGAATTGTTTATCCATGATTTTCTTGGCAATCTCTTCCACTGGGTTGAAAACTCTTAGAGGTCAGGGATTATATGGCATTTATCTCTTCAATGTATAGCTGTTGAATTAAATAAAAGAGGAATAAAACTTTTGCCAGCCTCGTGTATCTAGTTAGAATTAACTTTGGAAATAAAATATTATATTCTTTTAATGAATTAGCCCTTTAGACATCTTGGAAGGTAACATTGCTATGCCCAATGTTTAGGTGAAGAAACTAAGGTTCCATATATGTTGCTTCCACTTACCCTTTTGCTCCCAGTAAATTAACAAGCCTGAGAGGCCAGAGGCTGGTACCAAGTCTCTCCCAGATTTCACTATGCCATATCAATTTTGGGAGCTGAGTATTTTTTTGATGATCATGAGGCTGGTCAGCTGATGGAAGTTATAATGGAAATTTAAAAAATAAAAATGATTAAAAAAGGGTTGAGATGAAATATGTGATATGATCCTTGTGAGTAAGTCTAGCATTTATCACCATTTCATTGACATGGTGAATGAATTATATATATAGCATTATAATGATGTAATATCTCACAGTCCTTGATGGCTTGTGGAGTTGAATGGTCTGTCTGGGTGCAGTTTATGGAAGAAAAAGAGGGACAAAAATGAATGCAGAGTCATTTGGCATACTGTTCAGGTTTTCCACTAGCTACAATTTCTTTGTAATATTGCCATTGTTTAAATTCAATGTATTATAAGCAACATAAATTCATTCGGACAATGAAGAAATATTTAATAGGAAATAGATTCATTTTTTAAATATAGGTATTTGTTTTTGTCTTTTTTCTCAACTCTGTCTCTGTTTCTCTGTATCTCTCTCTTTCTTTCTCTGTCTGTGTCTTTTAATGTTTTGGCCTTTACAAATCACCCAATCCAACTGAGTTCAATTTCCTCATGTGCAGATTGGTGGTTAGGAGGCCATAAACTTATGGAAGAAGCGCCATCACTGTGTTGACATCAGAAAATATGGTCTTCTATTCTATTCTCCCCCCAAGATAAATGGGCTTGATGGAGAGCTTTCCTTTCCAATGTGAATGACTTCATGCTCCAAGGAGCTGAAGTGGAAGAATGAATCTGAACATAGCTTGGTCAACATCAGTCTTCTGGGTACAAGCCCATTATGAAGCAAACATCTAACAAATGTTCAATGAATTCAGGTTTTCTGTTTCATTTATGCCCTGGTATAAAGAGAATGGTGGAAAATAAATTTTGTGCTAAATAAAATTTTACTTTGACATTCAATGACAGGATAACCACCTAGATACATAATAATAAAAGCAAGAACAATAATGTAACAATAGAACAATTATTGCAACAAAAATATTAGCTAACAATTACCAGACACTTATTACTTATGGTTGCTTCTTTTGCTGCATAAAACTCATTTCCTAATTCCAAAGTGAAATGAGAGCATGCTTTTTCCTTCTAATCCAGTGGACTCTTACATTGCATCCATAGATTCCATCCTTCCCACAGGTATGTTGACCTAAAGCACGACTTACTGCCATCTCCCACCACTTCACTGGGGAGAATGATGAAGACCCCACGTCTAGAATAGACAGAGTAAGGGCCAATTCTTACCACTCCAAGTTTGCTAAGGAAAGCAGATACTTTTCATCTTCCAGAGAGCTTGTGAGCTCCCAATAAGTGTTGAGCAGGTTATGGTCAGTCGGTCAGTATAGGTACAACAATTCCTGCAAGCACGAACAGAAACAAAGCAGGATGCATGCGGTTTTATTAGTCAGTTTAGGCTAGATCAGGCTGCAGTAACCAGTGAGCCCAAAAGTTCACTGGTTGAAGCAACAAAGTTTATTCTTCACTCACATTGTATGAATATCACACATTTGTGGAGGATTTATGTTCATATTGGACCAAAGCTGATGAAATTCCCACTTTATTGAACATTGCTAGCAGCAGCAGAAAGAAGAAAGAGACGGATGATCATCCACTGGATCTTAATGCTTCTGCTCAGAATCAATACATGCCACTTTGCTGACAATTCATTTATCAAAGCAAGACAAATTTCCATTTCAAGACATAGAGGAGAGGTGGTCTTCTTGGGTGCGCAAAGGTGGATGTCATCGGAATTATTGGTGAGTGGCACTGATGTCTACCATACCTGAGACATCAGGTTTTCAAGGAAAGGGCGCCACCTGGAGCTCTATTGTCATGGTCCCCAATTTATCTACCACTGTTCTCTGTTGTGCACACTCTGATAAGGCTTCACGGACAACTCCAGCAAAACCACTCTCGTCAAGGCCATCAGCACCTTCCACATCTCTAAATCCACTGGCCAGTCAGCACTCATCTTTGTCTATCTATGAGCACTGTTTACATTCTCTATTTCTCCACCCCAATATTTCCTTTAATTCCAGGTGAACCCACTCTTCTGGTTTTTCTCTTATCGGATGGGTTTTTTCTTCTCAGTTTCATTTGTGAGCTCTTCCTTATCTCCCTGACCTCTTAATCTTCCAGTGCCCCAAGGCAATATCAATGGTTTTCTTCTCCTCTCTATCTAACCTCATTCATTTGGTGATCACATTCAGTAGCTTGTTTTTGTTTTGTATTGTTTAAACTGTTTTAATTTATTTATTTACTTATTTTATTTATTTATTTATTTGAGGAATATTAGCCGTGAGCTAACTACTGCCAATCCTCCTCTTTTTGCTGAGGAAGACTGGCCCTGAGCTAACATCCATGCCCATCTTCCTCTACTTTATACGTGGGACGCCTACCACAGCACGGCTTTTGACAAGCGGTGCCATGTCCACACTCGGGAACCGGGGAACCCCGGGCTGCTGAAGCGGAACGTGCACACTTAACCGCTGCGCCACTGGGCCGACCCCTAGTAGCTTGGTTTTGATCCAACCTATAGGCTGGATATTCTCAACATTTATTGACAGCTTTTACCTTTTTCCTGAAATCAAGCTTTCTATAGTCATCTGTATATCTGATATCTAATTTATCAAGTCTATACCAAAACTCCTAATCTTCTGGTACAAACATCTCCTATTCTACCCTTTCTAGCAAACTTTGCTGTCTTAATCTTCCAAATATATCCAGACCGCATTTTACCATATTCAGTGGTACCAAGCCTGTCCAAGTTACCATATTTGCATTATCCTCCTAAGTGGTCTCCAAACTTCTATCCTTGACTGAACCAGCCCTATCTGTCTATTCTCTCACATCAGTTAGAGTTAAAGTGCAGATTCCTACCCTGGCTTCCATTTCAGTCTTTGTAATCCCAAAGACAATGGCCCTAAAGTCACGCATAATCTGGCCTCTCATACTCTCTCTGATTTTATTTCCTACTAATCTTCTCTCTGCTCACTCAATGCCAACCATGGCAGACTCTGAGTGTTCCTTGAACACTCCACACTTGCTTCTAAATAAACATTTGAGCTTGCCGTTCCCTCTTCTCGGAATGTCGTTTGCTGCATAGGTGCATGACTCCCTCCTTTCCTTCTCAAAGCTTTGTTTAGATATTTTATTCTCAATGTGGCTTTGCCTGACCACTCTTTAAAAATTTAAACCCCTTTTTCTGCCTCTGATAATCCACACACTTCTTTCTTGTTTTATATTTTTCCCCTTTGGAACTTATTGCTTTTAAAGTACTATATCATCTACCTATCAATTTTGTTTATTGCCAGTCTCTCTCACTAGAATTTCAGACTCCCGTCTGTTTTGTTGACTTGTGTATTTCCAGTACTTAGAAAAATGCCTGAAACCAGTCGACTGTCAATAAATATTTTTTTGCAATGAATGAATGGATGGATGGATGATATATAAATGAATGAATGAGTGAATGAATAAATGAGGTTAATTTAATGTGGTTTGGGCTTTTAGCAAGAACAACCTGGGATTAAAGGACTAGTCGGCCCATGCACAAATAATCCATCAATCTTCTTAAGAACCATCCCTAAAAACCAATTTCCCTCTTATTATTCAAGCATAGCATATGCAATGAAATCCAAACTACAGTGCTATAGCAAAATCACATTATATTGTGTATAATCTAGTGTCTACAGGCTAAATATACTTATGGAAATGGTCTATTGACCACAGGGAGAAAGCCCCATTTCAATGTATCATTCCATTGGAGGCTCCAGATCGTAGAAGGAAGATTATCCTGGGGACCCCTATTGACACAACCTGGTATTTTACTATGACTAATTTATTCCTCAAACAATCTGAAACATAGGGCGCTGGGGGAATTTTAGTTAAGTCTTGTTTATGTCTCCTCTAAAAGATCTCGCTGATACTTGTCACACAATTAAAGCTGGTTTTCTGCCTTTGGAGGAAGAGAATAAGATGAGACGACGAAAGTGTCTTCTTTATTAAGAAGAAAGCAGAAAGATCTGCATGTTCTATCCTTAAAAGTGTAAATTGTATGTATTTTTTAAGAGAATATGTAATGTTTACCATGTTCTTGTGAGAACTATTTTTCTAGAACTTATGCTTAGTATGCGCTGATGATGTGGCTATTAGAGAGTAGACAGGGACTTGTTCAGTGAAACTGCTGCCACACAGGGAATAAGTTGGAGTTTTCAGGGATCCCATAAGTAACATCCTGTTATTTTCCTGAGTGTGGCCACATTAAGAAATAGACAGAGGAATCAACCAGATGTCAGTGTCACTGTTCTTCGAGAAAAAGTTGTATTAGACTACGTAACCACATTTGCAACCACAGCTAGGTTGTCTTGAGAATTTATTCTCTAAAATGTATACCATCTCCTTGGAAGTTCTGAGTCTACTCTGTCACCCAATCTCCTACAAGTTCAGGACACAAATGAACAAAGAAGGTTATATTCTGATACTCTGAGAACTCCACAAAGATCCTGAGCTGATCATGTTGACTTCTTTCTCTTAATTCTGCCAATTAGGGAATTTACTACCCTTGATAAAGAGAGAGGAAGGATCCAGAGAAATCAGAAATGTTTTGAAGTTTTGTTCCTTAGGAAAAGAAAATTTGCTCTCATATGGGAATGTGAGGAATGAGGAATCTGTATTCTTCCTTAGCAAAGAAAATTAAAATTAACCCCAATCAGAACTCAGTTTCTGTCTACAGAATAGATAGTCAAATAGGAGAGAAAATTTCTCAACTTTCAGGTAATTATCGAATTGCAATAGAACCCTTTGTGACTGACAACTTAACATTTAAAAAAAATTGTGTCTATGGATGCTGAGAACAACTGTAAGACTTGGGTTTTTAATAAAAAAAAATTGGGCAGAGAGATGAAAGCACTTAAAGAAATGGGCTGAAGCTTGTGTGATACCTAAAGGTTATCAGATAGCTTGGAGTAGAGAATGATGAGTGATTGCAAAATACTTTGTCAGTCAATATCTTTCAGTTGTTGCCTTTAAAAGTAGATTTCATTGTTTATTAGGAAGAACCAAAATGAAACCCAGTCCAGGTAGACAGTCCCACCTTATTTTGGCAAAGATATAAGACAAGTGGAATCAAGTGTTACCCCATTTAACATGTCAAGAGGCTGAAGCTGAGATTCACTATCTATTGGAGGACTCTCAGTGGTCTAACAAAAGACCTAGCACCCAAATCTCCACCTTTACACCAAATTTCAATCTTGTAACCACTTTTGGTTTTGGTCTGCCTTTCTTGCTCAAAAGCTTTCTCCTCTTGGTTTCGAGTGTGCAGGATGGATAAATTTCCCTTGTCAGCACAATAGTAGAAAAAGACATAGTGAATTTCAACTTCATGTACATAAAACTGAAGGCCATCAATGATTTCATTCTGTTGAGTCAGCAAAGGTAATCAATGATATGGTAAATTCCTTGAGATTAAGGACTGAATCCACAGTGCCTAACACAGCACTGCCTAGATCATAGGCTCTTCCCAAGTACTTTTGTAATAAATGAATGCAAGTTCTGCCTTTGATACAACTGTGGTTTATGATGAATTGTGAGAGATTATTGTGTGCGGTTTTGTGGGTTGGTTGTCTTATCTTCATTTACTTTGTCCCTTAGAAGAACCTGTTATTTACTCAACTCTCATTTTTTCCTATGACAGAGGACTTGATTAAAATATGTGAACAAGTTTTGAAACTTATTACTTACTTTCTGACACTGAGATTTGCCATTTCTTCAACTTTTCTGTATTCAAAACTTCTCATTTTGGGAAAAACTAGGGAGAAGCCCCTTCCCCCTGCCCTCCTGCTGGTTAAGTTTTGCTGGAAGCGAGAATGTGGGTGCAGGTGGTTGACCTAGGATAGGTCAATCAGATGGTCCCACCCATCACTTTGAATCTTGAGGGGTTGATGCAGAGATGCAGAGATACAGGGATGCTAAAGAAATTATTGATGTTGGCAGTAGCACAAAGAATGCTGCAATAGCAATGGTGGTGATGCTTCAGAGGCAAGTAGCGATATCCAGAGTCCCTCCACTGGCTGCAGCTCTGATTTGCCAGTGTGTGTGGCTCACAGACACATTTCCTGCTGCCTAGCCTCTCTTGGTTTCTGCATATTTTATGAGCCTGATTGATTAACCTACTGTTGATTTTGTAAAGTACTCAATATCCTTCCAATGAACAGCTTTTATCACCAAAGTATCCATTTTTTTTCTGTTATTGTCAACGAAAAGCCATGACGGTAACAGAGATTAGTACCAGGGAGTGGGTTACAGGCAATGGTCCCCAAGAAGAAGGGCGAAACTTGTGATAGACTACCTGACCTATTTG